AGTGAACACATACAACAACAACAACAATTAAGTTCATGTTTACAGCCAGTGTACACATACAACAACAACAATTAAGTTCATGGTTACAGCCAGTGAACACATACAACAACAACAACAATTAAGTTAATGTTTACAGCCAGTGAACACATACAACAACAATTGAGTTTATGTTTACAGCCAGTGCACACATACAACAACAACAATTACAATCATCTTTACAAATGAATAATAGGCCGCTGAATGCTTGTTGACCTTGTTGCAACATGGTTGCTGTATTTAACTACACTTCCTTCATGGTTTTTGTGTGATGAAGTGACAGCGAAGATTCTTTCTTGTGTGGGTCTGTTAACACTTTGCTCTTTTTATTTTAATCACGAGATGTTTTGCAACCTTATCACTTAAGTCATGTGATAATTAAAGTTCCGCGTGTTTCCAGCTTTAATATATTACCGGTGCTCTTGACAACAGTACATGTACAACGTAATTTAAAATTTGGAAAATCCCAACACAAGAGTAAACAAAAAATTAAGTGTAACTCTTTTTGAACATTAAGATTAAGTGAACTTACAAAATCCACTTCTGTACAAAGACAAGCCTGTGTTGGCAGAATTTGAAAGCGCAGACAACATATCTACGTCATAAGTGGTTGTATGAGGTCGCACATCGACATCTGGGCAGTTGCCAAGTCTTTGTGAGTGCAGCCGGAAATGGCTTATTACGGTCACTTGATATTTTCAGTAAATGTTTCTTGTTGTTAGCTTTAGACAAAGTTTTATAATAACTGCAAATTCGTAAAATAGCTGTTAGTTCAGACTCAACATATTTGCAGCATCTCGTTGAACTTGCGGTATTTTACAGCAGCTGGCAGTTTGACCTCGTTACATTTGCAAATTAATTTGCCATGTTTGACAGTCGACCTCACTACACTTGCAATTAATTTGCCATGTCTGACAGTCGACCTCGCTACACTTGCAATTAATTTGCCATGTCTGACAGTCGACCTCGCTACACTTGCAATTAATTTGCCATGTTTGACTGACAGCCGACGTCGCTACGTGTGCAATTCATTTGCCATGTTTGACAGTCGACCTCGTTACACTTGCACATTAATTTGCCATGTTTGACAGTCGACCTCGCTACACTTGCAATTAATTTGCTGTCTGACAGTCGACCTCGCTACACTTGCAATTAATTTGCTGTCTGACAGTCGACCTCGCTACACTTGCAACTAATTTGCTGTCTGACAGTCGACCTCGCTACACTTGCAACTAATTTGCGATGTCTGACAGTAGACCTCGTTACACTTACAATTAATTTTCCATGTTTCACAGTCGACTTCGCTACAGTTAAAGACACTTACAATAGATGGTAGTTTGACCTCGCTACACTTGCTTTAACTTGCAATGTCTGGTAATCCGACCTCGCTACACATACGGCAACTTGCAGTGTCTGACAATCAGACCTCGCTACACATACGGCAACTTGCAATGTCTGACAATCCGACCTCGCTACACATACGGCAACTTGCAATGTCTGGCAATCCGACCTCGCTACACAATTGGCAACTCGCAGTAACTTGCAGTTTCTACCTTTCCTTGTTTGCAGCAACTTGTAATGTCTGGCAGTTCAACCGCGCTACTTTTGCAGTCGAGGCGCTAACAAGACAATAATAATAATGCGTTTTCTTCTTCTTCTTCTTCTTTTTCTTCTTTTTTTTTTCTTCTTCTTCTTCTTCTATTTCTTCTTCTTCTTCTTCTTCTTCTTCTTCTTCTTCTTCTTCTTCTTCTTCTTCTTCTTCTTCTTCTTCTTCTTCTTCTTCTTCTTCTCCTCCTCCCCCTTCTCCCTTTCCTTCTTCTTCTTCTTCTTCTTCTTCTTCTTCTTCTTCTTCTTCTTCTTCTTTCTTCTTCTTAGGCGTCTTCTTCTTTCTTCTTCTTCTCTTCTTCTTCTTCTTCTTCTTCTTTATCTTCTCTTCTTCTTCTTCTTCTTATCTTCTTTCTTCTTCTTCTTCTTCTTCTACTTCTTCTTCTTCTCTTCCTCCTTCTCCTTCTTTCCTTCTTGCTTCTGCTTCTTCTTCTTCTTCTTCTTCTTCTTCTTCTTCTTCTTCTTCTTCTTCTTCTTCTTCTTCTTCTTCTTCTTCTTCTTCTTCTTCTTCTTCTTCTTCTCTATCGTCTTCTTCTTCTTTGCGATCATCGGATGTAAGCTCTGGCGGAAAGTTTTGATTGTTACTTTATTTCTTGGCTGTCTTTCATTATTCAAAAGCTGTCTCCAAACAAATACCAGTAACCTCAATGTTGATGTTCCCCCACAGAACAAGCCTAGAGGGTTGTCATTACGGAGAATGTCGGCTCCCAGCGCCCTCTTGTTCAAGTCTCTATCAGGGTACAAGTCTAAAAGCTCAGCCTCACTATGGTAAATATCGTCTGCAAAATGTTTTATGTTGTAATTTTGATTGTCGTAGTGTCAGCAACAAATCTTATGCAATAAATCGCTCTCATTTAATGTCAGAAAGAGGGTGCTAAAATATTACATAGAACCTGTTCTGATGTATGGCAGCGAATCTTGGAATGTCACTGAACAAATTAAGAAGAATTTGGAAGCACCATAGATGTGATTTCTGAGACGAATGTTACGAATACCTAGGACGGCCAGAGACACTGATGTCGAACGCAGAAGAAGAAGAAGAACTAGCAATGATTGCTTGAAAGAAGCTAATAAAAGTAGATCTCTATATACAACAAGAAAGAGGCAAACACTTTTCTTTGGCCACGTAATGAGAAGAGAGACATTGGAGAACATCGTGACAACTGGAAAGATCAGTGGAAAATGGGGTAGAGGCAGACCAAGAGAGATAATGCTGAATGGGCCGAAACGATGGCGTGGAGGAATATCATCAAAAGAGCTGTTCCAGGCAACCAGGGATTGAGATCTGTGGTGACACCTAGGCCAGTTGGCAGGACACATGATGTCAAATGTCAGTGCCTCCAGTTCATTTACTTATTGTTCATATTTTTTTAGATCTTCTTCATCGCACATCGGAATTGACCACAAGTGCTCCGATCTCCTCCTGAGTGTGTCTCAAAGTGTTTTTAGACTTACAGCTCCCATTCTGTTCTGGTTGATGTAATGGCGGGTGACAGCCGCATGGTTTTTCCTGGGTCTAAGTGGTACACCACGGGTATTAAGTCTATTCAGTGAAGAAAATCATTTTCCACGAAACAGAAAGCTTCACATTTCATCTCTAGTATGGCATTGATAATGTCTCTCCTGTCCATATTGGGTTCATTTCTGATAGTCACATCATGCCGACCGTCTTTACTTCCCATGACTTTACCTGGTCAAGTACATTTTTGAAAAAAGTCCAGCACCCACAGGACTTGAACCCACGGCCTTCGGATCCGCAGGCTAGCTTCTAACCGCTACACCCGGGCGGCAACCAGAAATAATAAACTAAATAAAACGAATTATCAACAAAAGACAAGCAGGATTCAAGGTGTAAGTGATATGGTAGGCAAAGTAGTGAATCGTGTGATAAGAGGGGTGAAACGGGCAGTGAACAGCACCAAGAAGAGATAAGAAAGTAGCCAGACAACGACTTGTGAATGGCTTGTTGGACACACACGTACTCGAGGTTAAGACCCCAGGATGTCATACGATAGCCGCTGGCCGGACAGAAGCTGCGGGCTGTCTACTTGAGCTGGTCGCTGGGGGGGGGGGGGGGGTGTAAATACGCAGCTCGTCAACGTGTACAGTGGACACCACATCGTTGAATTTATATTAGTGTGGTGGGTGTCTTAGCACCAATGTGACAAAGCCCTCAGTCCTGAATGTTGTGTTTTCTTTTGGTTTACGGCTCCGTTTTTAAGATTTGCTGAATACTGGCGTTTCAGGGATCACAGGGGTGGTCGCTAGTGGGAGCAGATTTTTTAAATTGATCTTTGTTTTCCCGAAGCACCAGCATCTCTGAAGGGGGAGCTTTAGGTTATAATTGTGACTAGGTTATGTGCGCCATATCAAATAGCTTAGCATTGCACGCGGCCAAGATCCCTGAACAAGACTCCTGCAGAGTTGATGCGATCAGAGAAGACAGACCCAAATACTGCCCCGACCGGCGACGACGTCTTCTAACGGCGAGCCAATGGACGACCTGGTTACCGATGTGGAATATAGTTCTAGATCTATATTTTATAGACCAATCGGCATTTTGTGGGTGATGTTCTCAACATCACGCAGACCGTTTTTACTTCCCAGCACTTTACTTGGTACTCATTTAATGCTAGGTCGACTTAGGAGCCCAATTATTTTGGAATCTAACACAGACATTACTTTGTCTAACGAAATATTAACTACTTTAAGGGTGAAAGTAAATACTCCTTTCTACGCCTATGGCACGCCAGGCTAGCCTCAGACACGACCGGCTCCAGCTGACAGGGATGTGCTGCTGACGTCACGGGGTCGGGCTAACGAGGCGTCAACGCCGCGGTTCTCAAACAAGAAATCAAATATTTGTGACAATGGGACAGAGCCGCTGAGTTAACGCATCGTTAGCCCGACCCGGTGACGTCAGCAGCACGGCCCGTCAGCTGAAGCTGGTCAGGCCTCAGATATCTATAAACCAGACGGCATCTGGTGCAGAGCTATCTTCTTAACAGCATTACGGGCCCCTGGGTAAACCAATGTGCTGAGGCCCCGACGACAACCACTCACATGAAAAGACATTTTATTTATGGAAATTTACTTGTCATACACATATTATCGCGATGGCCCCTATGCAGCACTAGTCGGTGGATCATATAGTCAGCGTCACGCCAGCCACCTTTACTTCCCAAGGCATAATCTGGTACCAATTTTTTGTTAAATAATAACTTTGACCTAATAACGTATGTCTGATGTTGAAAGTATCTGTTTTCAGGTCCAATAACAGCATGAACAAGAAAGACCAGGACCTCATCTCCCACTTTCGAATTACTGAGAGAGAGTCCACCAGGATGCTCATTATGGAGGGATCTGTACAGTTGGCTATGGTAAACAGAAGCTGCTTTTTTTTTTTAACTTACCGGATTTACAGGAAGTATAAAAATTTCAACTGGAATAATTTTGTTTTCTCTGCATGTAATTCACTTCTGTAAACACATAAGATGTTATGGTAAACAGGATCCCGTTTTTCAACCTACAGGATTTTTATGAAGGTTAAAGTTGTATATCGAATGGAATGATTGTTTTCTTTGCATATAACCTGCTTCCTTAAACACATGCAATTTTATGATAAATAGAATCCCGTGGTGTTTTTTTTTTTTTTTTCAACATGCAGGATTTGTGTGGAAGTACAAGTTGTATTTCAACAGGAATAATTGTGTTTTCTGTGCTTATAACTGACTTCCTTATACACACAAGAATATACATTTTGCCTTAAAAAAATTAAAATTAAGACATCTAAAGAAAAGTAAAGGACCCTTTTCCACGCCTTTAGGCATATTGGGCACACAGGGCTAGACCTATATTTTATAGACCAGTTGACACTTGTTGTGTGATTAACATCACACCAGCCGACTTTACTTCCCAGGACCCTGCCTGCTACCATTTCAAGCCACATTTAAGTGTAATATCTTGAAAACCTACCCACAGAAAGAAAAACTTTCTTCCTCTTTGTGTTCACCGTCAATAAACTGAGACGAAAAGTTCTGGCTGTTTTCCTGCTTCTAGACATTGTTAATGCTCCAGAACTTGTGTTTTGCCTGCGTAGCCATTTTACACATTTTGCTTATTTGTAAGCAGACTGTTGGTTAATCACCTGCCAAGGCAGGTACAGTCTGACTGAGAAGAAAACTCCTCTAATTAGTCGACTTTTATTTATGTGACATGTTTGTTTGGGGGACACTTGATCTGTTCCCCTAAACATCAGACCCCGAAGCTTATGTGTGAGTCTGGTAGAGATAATGTTGGATCATCATTGGCGCAAAGCTTGCTTTATCTATACCAGGATTCAGTCCTGAGATTCTCCTTGCTTTATCTATACCAGGATTGAGTCCTGAGATTCTCCTTGTCTTATCTATACTAGGACTGAGCCCTGCGATTCTCCTTGTCTTATCTATACTAGGACTGAGCCCTGCAATTCTCCTTGTTTATCTATACCAGGACTGAGTCCTGAGATTCTCCTTGTCTTATCTATACCAGGATTGAGTCCTGAGATTCTCCTTGTCTCATCTATACCAGGATTGAGTCCTGAGATTCTCCTTGTCTTATCTATACCAGGACCAAGTCCTGAGATTCTCCTTGCTTTATCTATACCAGGATTGAGTTCTGAGATTCTCCTTGCTTTATCTATACCACCAGGATTGAGTCCTGAGATTCTCCTTGCTTTATCTATACCAGGATTGAGTCCTGAGATTCTCCTTGCTTTATCTATCCTAGAATTGAGTCCTGAGATTCTCCTTGCTTTATCTATACCAGGATTGAGTCCTGAGATTCTCCTTATCTAATCTATACCAGGACTGAGTCCTGAGATTCTCCTTGTCTTATCTATACTAGGGACTGAGCCCTGACATTATCCTTGTCTTATCTATACCAGGATTGAGTCCTTAGATTCTCCTTGCTTTATCTATACCAGGATTGAGTCCTGAGATTCTCCTTGTCTTATCTATACTAGGACTGAGCCCTGAGATTCTCCTTGTCTTATCTATACCAGGACTGAGTCCTGAGATTCTCCTTGTCTTATCTATACCAGGATTCAGTCCTGAGATTTTCCTTGTCTTATCTATACTACGACTGAGCCCTGCGATTCTCCTTGTTTATCTATACCAGGACTGAGTCCTGAGATTCTCCTTGTCTTATCTATACCAGGATTGAGTCCTGAGATTCTCCTTGTCTCATCTATACCAGGATTGAGTCCTGAGATTCTCCTTGTCTTATCTATACCAGGACCAAGTCCTGAGATTCTCCTTGCTTTATCTATACCAGGATTGAGTTCTGAGATTCTCCTTGCTTTATCTATACCACCAGGATTGAGTCCTGAGATTCTCCTTGTTTTATCTATACCAGGATTGAGTCCTGAGATTCTCCTTGCTTTATCTATCCTAGAATTGAGTCCTGAGATTCTCCTTGCTTTATCTATACCAGGATTGAGTCCTGAGATTCTCCTTATCTAATCTATACCAGGACTGAGTCCTGAGATTCTCCTTGTCTTATCTATACTAGGACTGAGCCCTGACATTATCCTTGTCTTATCTATACCAGGATTGAGTCCTTAGATTCTCCTTGCTTTATCTATACCAGGATTGAGTCCTGAGATTCTCCTTGTCTTATCTATACTAGGACTGAGCCCTGAGATTCTCCTTGTCTTATCTATACCAGGACTGAGTCCTGAGATTCTCCTTGTCTTATCTATACCAGGATTCAGTCCTGAGATTTTCCTTGTCTTATCTATACTAGGACTGAGCCCTGCGATTCTCCTTGTTTATCTATACCAGGACTGAGTCCTGAGATTCTCCTTGTCTTATCTATACCAGGATTGAGTCCTGAGATTCTCCTTGTCTCATCTATACCAGGATTGAGTCCTGAGATTCTCCTTGTCTTATCTATACCAGGACCGAGTCCTGAGATTCTCCTTGCTTTATCTATACCAGGATTGAGTTCTGAGATTCTCCTTGCTTTATCTATACCACCAGGATTGAGTCCTGAGATTCTCCTTGCTTTATCTATACCAGGATTGAGTCCTGAGATTCTCCTTGCTTTATCTATCCTAGAATTGAGTCCTGAGATTCTCCTTGCTTTATCTATACCAGGATTGAGTCCTGAGATTCTCCTTATCTAATCTATACCAGGACTGAGTCCTGAGATTCTCCTTGTCTTATCTATACTAGGACTGAGCCCTGACATTATCCTTGTCTTATCTATACCAGTATTGAGTCCTTAGATTCTCCTTGCTTTATTTATACCAGGATTGAGTCCTGAGATTCTCCTTGTCTTATCTATACTAGGACTGAGCCCTGAGATTCTCCTTGTCTTATCTATACCAGGACTGAGTCCTGAGATTCTCCTTGTCTTATCTATACCAGGACTGAGATTCTCCTTGTCTTATCTATACCAGGACTGAGATTCTCCTTGTCTTATCTATACCAGGACTGAGATTCTCCTTGTCTTATCTATACCATAATTGAGCCCTGAGATTCTCCTTGTCTTATCTATACCAGGACTGAGTCCTGAGATTCTCCTTGTCTCATCTATACCAGGACTGAGCCCTGAGATTCTCCTTGTCTTATCTATACCAGGACCGAGTCCCGAGATTCTCCTTGTCTTATCTATACTAGGACTGAGTCCTGAGATTCTCCTTGTCTTATCTATACCAGGACTGAGTCCTGAGATTCTCCTTGTCTCATCTATACCAGGACTGAGTCCTGAGATTCTATTTGCTTTATATATACTAGGACTGAGCCCTGAGATTCTCCTTGTCTTATCTATACCAGGACTGAGTCCCGAGATTCTCCTTGTCTTATCTATACTAGGACTGAGTCCTGAGATTCTCCTTGCTATATCTATACCAGGACTGAGTCCTGAGATTCTCCTTGCTTTATCTATACCAGGACTGAGCCCTGAGTTTCTCCTTGTCTTATCTATACCAGGACTGAGCCCTGAGATTCTCCTTGTCTAGTCAACTGGAGGAACCTGGAGCAAGCACTGTGGTTCACCTTGTCTTTGTTGTATGTATAGTGAGATATTATGTTGTGTGAGATGTCTGTATGCACACTGACATATTCATGTATGTTCACATGTTTCAGGGAATGCAGATACAGGAGCGCTACCTGTTTCTTTTTAGTGATCTGCTGCTTGTGACCAAACAGAAGTATGTGTTTTGTTATCTCATTTATGCATGCTTATACTGCAATTTCTGTCATTCTATCTTTATTTGTTTTTCAAATGTCTTTTTACCTGCCTGTTTGCCTACATAATCTGGCTGGCTGTCTGAATCTATTCATTTATGTGCCTGCCCGAGAAGCTCTCACTCACTCCCTCTGGGTGTCATCATAGCTAAGTGTTCAAGCCATTTGCATCGCACTCCGAAGGTCATTGGTTCATTTCACGCTGTGTGGTTCAGTTTGCGAGTGCACTTATTTCGGAGAGCCCTGGAGATTGGTACTGGAGCTACAGAATTCATACTTTGTGTGATGCTCTCGGCAGACAACTGGCCATTTTGCAAAGTGGCCAACAATATGGGATCAAATCCGGTGCAATGAAGTCCATCCTTTCGACTTTAAGTCACTCCCTCAGTCTCTTTTGATCTTTGTTTCCACTCTGCAAGTTCTCCATCACGCCCACTTATCTGCTATGCTAACTATCCCCATGCACATCAATTCCCAAGCTATCTAGAAGGAATCTGTGCTGTTAACTTATTGAAAAATTTAAAAAAATTCTATGTGAGAACTTACTGGGAGATAAAAATGCATTCCAATGATTGAATTTAACCATGTCATTCCAGGAACACTAAATTAAATGGATCATGACCATATGGGAAAGCCTGACAAAATCTTTGAATAAATAAAGCAATAATTTTAGACAGCTCACTAATAAATTTGTTAATAATTTATTTGTCTTCATATTGTACTTGTTTTTTAAATATATGACGATATACTCGTATAACGAGATTGTAATTAATAAACATGAATAGAATGAATCATTGAGTGGAATAGATTCCCTGGGGCCTTAAGAAATATCAGGTAATTCATGCCATGACCCTGTGTCGCTGATGTGTTTGTTGAAGGGAAAACATTAGCACCTATAGACGTGTCCAGAGTGCCATGATGAAGACAACCCAACTCATAACTCATTATATAAAATGTAGATAACTTTTTTGTTCGTTTAAACTACATAAAACAAACAATTGTTTCTGCAGATCAAATACGGCCTTCAAGTTAAAGAACAGAGTGCAGCTTTGTGATATGTGGATAGCTTCATGTGTGGAGGAGGTTGCCGAGACTACCCGACCAGCCGACCAGTCTTTTGTCATTGGGTGGCCAACACAGAATGTGGTGGCAACCTTCCCACGGGCAGATATCAAAGAATACTGGCAAACCAAACTCAGGGAGTAAGTTTATTTGAAGGAATTCATTTCTATAAATAGAATATTTTGCTTTCCAAGGTTGCAGGCTGGTATCTTTTTGAATGCACAAACAATTGAAAGAGGTTTTAGAAAAGTAAGTAAGTTAGTTTTACCCCACCAGGACATCACACAAAGCGGTAAAGACCCGGTGACACAAAGTGCCATCATTTGGATGAGGCTCACCTGTGGAGAGGTCCTAGAAACCCCGTTCAAACCTTAGATTATATTAGACTCCCCAGCAACAGTCAGGATAGGGCTTCCAGATGATGAAAAACTGCATCCCACATAGGGACAATCAATTATTTCAGAAACCATTCAAAAGTGTCAATATATAGATATACTATAAGTCATAAACCCTTTATATATTTCATGTGTTTATTATAAACGACATGTTAGCTCCTCCAAAACTGTGACCAACACATGGATTAAAATTTCAACTGTCATTACGATAACAGTGTTTTATTTAAGTCAGATTGGCAGCCCAGGCTATTGCGCATTTCTTTAATTGCGACAGTCAGTAAAAGTAAACTTTCACTGGAGCTGTATCCTGTTGAATATATTTTAATTACTTCCCTTAAAAAAAAGTAATGTTTAAAAATTATATTTTGCTGTTATCTTCCTTTAAACCTTATATCTATATGCATCAGAGACAATACATTTGACTCACCCCCAGAATGTTAAATACTGGTATTAGTTATACTGGGATGCCTCAAGTGCACTTAGGGGCAATGCCTAAGTTAAAGCAGAAAACGGGATATTAAGTATAGGGTTTTAGTCAGTCCCCTATTTCCACTAGACCTACATGGCGTGCAGCTCTACACAAGGGCGCGGCTACATGTGAAGTAAACAGAACAGCAAGACTGATTAAGAAAAGGATAGACAGAAAGGCGACTTCAGGAGATCCCCTCCCAGGCACAACGCTCCTTCCCTGTCCTTACTGTCCAAGAACTTTTCGGGCCCGCATCGGCCTCATCAATCATCTTCTTACTCATACTTGATGAAAAAGAGTGGTCATCATCATCTGGAGGGACAACCCACAAATAACAGCTGTATTAAGAAACTGAAATCACTTAAAATGACATTGCTGCCAGTATCAATTGTGAAGCTGTAAAATTAGTTCAGTAAAAGGTCCTTCTCACTGGTTGCACATCAGGCAGATGATAACTTGAATTTTCCACTCTTAGTGGGAGACATGGTTAACATCCCACCAGCCGCCTTTACTTCCCATGACATCCTTGTACCCTTTTAAGGCAGGGTCTGCCTTTTAGCCGAGGTGAGTGTAAAAATCTGTCCCGGTACTGATTTGTGTGCTTTATTAATATCCTACCCCAGATAACGTCACAGGACAGTTTGACATTTTAGAGGGTGGTAAGAATGGGTTTCCCGGCTTTCTGATTCTTTTAACGACCCCAAAACATTTCAAACTGTCCCTAACCCCAACCCACCTAGGTCCCACAAAAGAGTGCAGCCTAGGTCCCACGACTGCATGCATCCTAGGTCCGACGACTGTATGCAGCCTATCTACCACCCCCTGAAATATTACTGTCCTGTGACCTGTGGATTTTCCCTGTTTGGGGTAGGATATTAATAAAGTACCATGATTCGACACATCCTTGCATGCACAGGACTGCAGGTTTTACTGAGCTGGTATAGCAAAACGGATGTCCTTAGAGGTTGAATGGGGTATCTGAGCTTGCTTGTTGGTCAGCCTGCACTACTGAGATGTTTTGGTCTTACAGTGTCAGACTTCAAGACCCGTTGTTATGCCATCAGGACTAAGATCTTTTACTCTCAGTTTGTCAGACTTTTCAGGGAGCAGCCAGGAGAGGATAAACGACACCTCATGCACGCACTGATTCAAACCCAAGCTCGGTATGCCAGCAAGCAAGTGAACGTTATTGAGAAGGCACCACTTTGATCAATGTTGATGGGTATATAGAAGGGAAGGCAAACGTTTTGGTGATACCGTACATTTCCTAGGTTATTTCCCTTAAGATTATTTTATATTACTTTTTCCTAGTGCAGATATCGTCAGTTTATTTTTCCATTATTAACAACACATCTTTCCACATTGTGAAATTCTAGTTTCACAGTTACACTATATCTTTTATCATGTAGGTTCCCGTGCTCCTTTGGACAAGTATGTTATAGGGGCGACTAATTAAGGGTGTTTTCTTCAGTCATCGTCCATCTGCCTTAGAGGTGAGGAACCAACAGTCTGCATAAGAATGAGCTGGGTCTGTAAAACGGATGTGTACAAAAACTCAGGTCATGGATCAAGACCAAACCCTAGAAGTGGACAAACAACTAGAACTGTCCTCATAAGTTTACAGCCGGTGAACGCGAAGAAGAAAAAGAAGAAATGTTTTTCTTTACGCATCATTACTTCTTCTTCTCTTCCACCTTGTACCTCATCGAAGTGTCGGGGGGATTACTACTTGTACATTATTACTTTATATCTTTCCACATTGTTAATTTCAGATATATTAACATCGATAAGTTGAAGGATAAAGATAAGGAAATACAGCTCAAGGTAGCCCCAAGAGACATTGAATCTGTAAGTGTTGTTACATAATATATATTTTTAGGTTGTTTGTTTAAAATTGGTCTCCGCATGCCTTCAATCAGCACATTCAATTCTATCCACCTCGTCTTACATTTTGTATCTTGTGGTTTTTTTCCTTTTCATCTGATATGTCCATGTGTTTGAATTTTGTTTTCTGAATCGCTATAGCAACAATCATATGATAACTGTTTAAAAGTTCTTGTAAATTCAGCATAGATTTCTCAACCTCCAGCACTTAATAAGTGTCATTCTATCAAACGATCTGGATGTTTTCTGTTAATACTGTCATTCTCTCTGTCAACTTTACTTTATCCTCTCTATTTCATCTTCATAGATAGTTTTCTGGTTTTATTTTTCCACTGGCAGACTTGGCCATAATAATAATCAGAAGAACTCCACATGGGAGCATGTACACACGGGTCCACCGATCATCAGTAGAGAGATCCTTCGTAGACAATGGTTTCGGCCTATTACTTCCCTTAACAATCTCGGAAGGTGGGCCGACCTAGGTCATGAAGCCAGGCCCCAATCTTTCCCCTTCTGCCCTTCTTCAGATTCGATAGGGACAAGGCGATATGGGAACTTTGCAACAGTTGTGGGGTTTGGTGTTATATTGTCCCTGCCAGAATATATCAGCTGGCGTGAGACTTAGGAATTGCTCCCATAATTCTAAGTTGTTTTTTTTTAAAAAGAAATAAACAAAATGTTTCAAATAAACATAATTGGAAAGCAGGGCAACTAGAAAATATCTGAAATAATTTCATATTTACCTGCATACTTTCTATTACATTTTCAAGCTGCTGAAAGGTCAGTACCATTTTAAACACAATGTCATATGTTTTAGTGGGCTCACTTCATCACTGGCCCACATAGGGCTTATTCACTGTTGGTCTAGCTGACACACCTGACCAAGGTCTTTTGCCCACCATTCAGTATTGTTTAACAGTACAGGCGGTTGAAGACGCAGTGCAGGAGCATGTAGTAGTTGCAGTTCAGAACACCCAGTATCCACCAAAATTAAATAACAGCTTGTCTTTTCCTCATTGCTGTTCTTTTCCACACAATTTCCATATTCTTCAGGTAAACTCATAGACCCAAATTGCATTAAAATTTGAGTTTGCGTTTTTAAAAAAAACTGTGCTTACTGTGAGCAAACAATAATTTTACATCCCTGCTGAGACCAAATTGTTGTTGCTGTTAACTAAGTGTTCTTCTTAAGCGAGTTTTATAAATGACGTTTTCTGTATTTTAAAAACCATCTGAAACTCATTCTTGTCCTCATTTTACAATGCTGGATTAACCCACGGCTAAAGTGGTCAGGAAACAATTATCCTGCTGTTGATAGTTATTGAACATTGGCCACTGTGTTCAATAACTAGTGCTCCACCTACTGGGTGATCACTTTTCTATGAGAGCCTGTAGGATTAGAGAGTCCCTTTGCCTGAAGATGGCATCTGTGTTTGGGACTGGCTTCACTGCCAGGATTTTCAGCTTTGGTTAGTTCGACGTTAGTCTCCCCAGATAGAGTAGGTCACTTTTCATTCACAAGTTTTGTTGGGCTGGTCAACTTTCCTGAAGGTTACTGGTGTGTCCCGCTCTCTTGTTTGGTTTCTGCGTTGTCTTGCACTTATGTTTTCATTTAGAGAAAGAGAATACCTGTGACATAGGTTGCAACACTCTCTGGAGGAGGGGTGGCTGTGTAAGACCCAGTTTGTCCATGTTTTTAAAGTGTTAAAAGCACTGATGTGCTGAAATATACAACACGCTAAATCAACAGCATTGCGGAACACCTCCGAAACCTTGTGGAAATATGATGTGGCTTGGGAACTATCAGTCATAAGTGAGCTTGTGTATATGTGGGTGGGTTCTGGGGAGACTAATGTCGAACTAACCTCAGCATTTTATTTAGAGTTGTATAGGATGGGGGGCGAGTCTTGAGCCTGAAGATGTATGGCCCCATGGCTAAGGTGTCATCATAAACTGTGCTGGTTGAAATTTGTGCTTTTGCCCCTGACATGAAGAGAATATCTGAAATCTTAATTAGGTCCTGAGTTCATCATTCTGATTGCTTGACTGACTTGAACAAATTGATTTAAAACTTAACAGTAATCTAAAGTTCATCGTTCTAATCGCTTGACTGACTTAAACAAAATATCTTAAAACTTAACAAAGTTCATCGTTCTGTTTGCTTGACTGACATAAACAAAATATCTTAAAACTTTAAAGTTCATCATTCTGATTGCTTGACTGACTTAAACAAAATATCTTAAAACTTAACAAAGTTCATCGTTCTGATTGCTTGACTGACATAAACAAAATATCTTAAAACTTTAAAGTTCATCGTTCTATTTGCCTGACCAGCAGACAAAAATCTGAAATATTAAAATATTAATGACGATCCAAATTTCACTGTTCTGTTTGCTTGACTGAGAGAAATACAATTTCTGAAACCTTAACAAGGATCCAAAATGCATCATTTGAATTGGTTGACCAGCTTCCAGTACAGCAGTGACCATCTGTCTAGTTTGTAGGTATGTATTACATCACTTCTAACATCTATGTAGTCTCACTATCCAGAATGCAACACTGTCTGCTTTCAGGTCACACAGAACGTGTGCCAGGTGGCAGTCAATAACCTCACAGAAGCCAAGGATGTCTTGCTAGCTTGTCTTAACCAGTTAAACATCTCGGTAAGTTAAACATCTCATTAAGTTAAACATCTCGTTAAGTTAAACATCTCGTTAAGTTAAACATCTCGGTAAGTTAAACATCTTGGTAACTTAAACATCTCAGTAAGTTAAAAATCTCGATAAGTTAAACATTGTGAAAATACCCAGTGTAATATTTGTGTGTTAAAGTCATTCCGTGTTTGCTACCTGGTAAGTGATTTTTGAAATTCCTCTCTCATTCTGTCCGGTTGTTTAGGTCTGTATTCTGTGTTTAGGTTGCTGTAATTATCCTGTCTGTTTGTACAGTAGAATTTGCATTATGTTACTATGTATGTTCCAGTATGTAAATAAGTATGGTCTGAATGATAAAGTTAAATATCCCTCCCCATCCCCAACCCACATACACTTATAAACACACATTCTCTCTCTCTTTCTCTCTCTCTCTCTCTCTCTCTCTCTCTCTCTCTCTCTCTCTCTCTCTCTCTCTCACACACTCACGCAGGCATGCACACACACTCTAGTGGGTGCCCAGTTAGTTCTATCCTCACCCCCTCAATCCTGGGCTGCTACCTCTATTTTTGACCACCCTGAGATTACAGAATTTCAATCTGCAGACCAGCAGGTCAGATCCCACATAGATCTTTCATCCTCCAAAGAATGAGTTGGATTCTCTTCACAGCACTCCAGAAACAGCCATAAGTGATCAGATTCTCCCTTCCACAAACTCATCAGTGTCGCACAGTTAATAGTACCAGTCCTATGCTGCTTGACAAGACTTCTTGTGCATCTGGTGTGACTCTCATGCTTGGCTGTGCCGTTCTAAAACTCCAATTCTCCTATTCTTAGCAGTGATGTGAACACGTTGCTTCCCAAATCCTTGGAATGCCCTTTCGCTCCAAGGGCATTATCTCATTGCTACACAAGAGGTCAAAATACTGGACATAAACTTGCCTAGAAAAACCCAAACCACCAGAGAAATGCTGGGGTTTGTTCTGTAAAGGATACCTAACTAACTTAACACAAGAGGTGTCTCGTGTGCACCCCAGAACAATTAGGGCACCGGTATGGTGTAGTCAGACTGGTGGCTGCAGTTTCCCCAATTGAAAAGTTATTTGCCCATTCTTTACAGGTCTTTGTAGAACCAACTCTACCATTTGTTGGCTGGTTTGTTTTTAATATGCAGTATTACGTTATCAGTACTTTGCCCTTGCTCCCTAAACTAAATGGTCGGTTCCCGATACTCCTGTCAAATTCAGCACAAGGCAGTCTGCTGTCAACTCGCTGGAAACGAACTAAGTACCTCTGAATTAAGAAGCATGTTCACAACTCCTGAGCCACAACCCCTGACAATTTTGCATATCACTACGAGTGCAGAGTGATCTTTCTGACTGATGCTATGTCAGTTCGACAAGCAATCGTTAACCCAAAAGACACTCAGTTTGTAGACTTGTCGCAACAGCTGATTCGCCTAGGTTCTTCAGTAGAACAATCTGTACTGCAGTCGGTTCCAGGTCACTGTGGCTTGGAAGGCAATGAAATAGCGGACAGGTTTGCCAAAAGCGGCAACGACATGGAACAACTAAATTGCGACTTAACCCACCAAGAGACGAAAACATTAATACAATCTAGTATCCAAGAAAGCTGACTGGATACCCACACCAGATTTGCTCCCCAAGACTCGCTTCATCGCCTCTCTAAAGAGGGACAGTGCATTATCTTCAGACTAAGGACTAGACACAACAGTATTCGTCAACATGTGTTCACCTTTTTCGGTGTAGGAAACACGGAGACGTGTCTCTGCGGCGTGGCACTCGAACATGCTGAGCATGTGCTCCAACACTGTCAACTGTATGCTGACAACAGAGACGCAATCTGGCCTGTTCCAACTACAATGAAGACAGAACTGTATGGTACATGAAAGGATATGGACTGCACGAATCTAGCTTTCATAAAGGCTACCGGTCTAATATTTTCTGACAGAAGGATCGAAGAAGAAGAAGAAGAAGAAGAAGAAGAAGAAGAAGAAGAAGAAGAAGAAGAAGAAGACTACACTAAACTCCGAAATCGTGTTGCCAAATTTTTTTTTTTTCATATCTGCTTCTCACTCCAGCCTCACACGCAGCAAAACAATATAACGCCTGTATGACACTTTAACACTGCAGGAGGAGATTTTCTTGGCGATTTCGTCGTTACATTTTGCAAAAGGCTATTTTTATGTCGTGTCCGTTCTTGTTCTAATCTCTACAATCTGTCGCCCACCTGATGCTTCGGCGGTTGTGCAGAAACTAGCGGCTTGTCAATCCTTACACCCCTTCCTTCCTTTCTCCACCTTACCCTCTTTCCTCTCTCCTTTGAGCCATATTCTTTTATAAAAGTAAGACGAAGAAAGCAGAAAATTCTCTAGGACAACGTCATCAAGCTACTATGATTAGTCCCTGTAGCTAAAAATAGTCTGCCTGCAATTCGAAGACAAGAATACAGACCTTGTCCCTTCCCCCTTTTCACCCACAGATATTTTGACCCATATCTGAACCCCTCACGTCTGCTGCTGCATTCCTTCTTCACTCGGCGACCCCGCTTAATGTGATCCCTGTGTCAACCTCTGATGACCCACCACCACTGGGTGAACTCTCTCCTGGCTCTGAAGATATTTGCCTCTCAACACCATCTTTCTAAAATTGACAAGTTTGAAGACAGAGCCCGCGTGTTTCACAACTTCTCCTGTGGAAGCCGATTCTTAATGTTTCTCCTAGATGAAGTTGGTGTCTCGCAGGAGTTTGTGGCCTAGTTGACAGAGAAACCGACCGAAAAGTAACATTTCCGTAAAAAGAATTCTATGGACATATAATTAGTTTGCAACTCTGAAAGTTAGCCAGTCTTGTACAGAGGTTGAGATGCTCACAAATTAGCGCAAAACATTCCAATTGTTTAGATCATAAGTTTGAATTCTTCCGAAGCAGTTTAGCATAGACATACAGGTTAGGTTTCTCAAACACAGCATTGACTCCGTTGGTGTACAGTCTAGCACTATGTACCCTTACAGTTAAGAGTGTGAAAAAAGCTTTTTCTTCACTTAATGTAATTTAGTAATGTAGACAAAAAACGACGTTGTCTAGACACAGTTCTGATTCCGTGTGCATAAGATAGACATACAGGTTACGTTTTCTAGACAGCTTGAAATTTTCAGTTCTCTTGATGTATGGTCAAGCTAATTCCTGTTTACATTTTATAAACTCTTGATTTCGTGGATGCAGCTTAGTAATAACATAGACAAGCAGGTTACATTTTCATGGCCTCGGTTTGAACCCGGTGAATGCACAGTAAACAGACAAACAAAATTTGCTGTCTACCACAGTTTGAACTGTGTGGGTGTAATATAGTCAAACAGACAGACAGGCCAACATTTTCTGGGCACTGCGTGTGACTTTCCCATATATTTTTCATCGTTCGAGGTGTACGGATATATCCATGAGGATTCCGGTAAGTTGATTATATCAATTCTTTCTCGTGTGGGTTACAGACAGGTCTGCAAATGGGATTTTTTTATCAAAACCCAAGCAATACATAAGCACAATAAAAAGGCAAAACACCCAAGATTGATAAAAAGTACAAATTTTATAGTTACGAAACGAAACATTTACCCACTTTTATCTAAGGGTATATATGTATATTTTTAAACTGAACCCAAGACTTCATATAAAAACCCAGATCTTGGGGGGGGGGGGGGTGGGGGGAAGTGTTGGCAGCCCTGGTTACGGGGGAGGGGTTGAGGCAATTTTCCCATAAGAAGCATGCCGTAAAAGGCGAATACCTAGGATTTTTTAGAAATCGAATGTTACGAAGTAACATGCAGCCGAGTGTAATAAATAGTGAAAGTAATGATTGGGGACAGAGCGGATTACCCTCAAACAACAATGAGACAAGTTAAGAAAATGTATGGGCTCTATTCAGCTTTTTCACCCCATCTCGTCGGCTGTGAGATTAGTAGGGAATTCCTAGCTAGTTCCCCGGAATCAGGGTAAGCGTTAGTGTTAGTTGGTGTGTATTTAACAGTAACCCTACAACTCTGAAACTGCCCCGTTCTAGGTGTGTCATGTGTTAGTTGTTTTCAGCATGTTCATCGTCGTTATTTCCAGTGTGTGTCACTTTCCTTCGTTCGTCGCCATCACAGAGCCTTGTTTGTAAGCAGTGTTCTTACTGTGTGACTTCTCCTTCGCCCTGAATTTCCTTGACCTGTCAGCATCTATCTCTGCATCTAACCCTAACCCTAACCCTAACCCTAACCCTAACCCTAACCCTAACCCTAACCCTAACCGGCGAGTATGCATGCATGGAGATTGCTGCGCTGTTCAGCGTCCTCCCTCGCCGATATTTCAAGATGACCCTTTTCAGGGCACATCCCAAAATATTCCTAGTTCGCTTCACACTAAGGTCTGGCCAAGAGAAACGCCGGTTCAAACCGAGTTTTAGAGGTCGCTAAGTGAATTACAGAAAACAGTGAAGTTCATACTAGAAACGACATTACAGATATAAATCATCTATTACGAGTGATCGAAAGAAGAAGAAGAAGAAAAGCTAACCGTAACCCTAATGCCCCTATACTATATAAGCTTCCGGGGAAATACCTAGGAGTTCCTTACCAAATCTCGCAGCCGACAAGATGGAGTGAAAAAACTGAAAAGTACCAATGTATGTCATGTATAAGGTCATAAATCAACTTATGCTGGATTACTTTACCATATTCATGGGGAAGTAAAGACGGCCGGCGTAATGCTGACCATATTGCCCACCTAGTACCGATTGGTCTGTAAAATATAGGTGCTCTTCCCATATGCGCCGATGCGCCTAAAGGGCGCGAAAAGAAATCTTTACTTTTACTTTAGATCACCGAATCACATTATTCTTGAGATATCACAGTATCAACATGCACTCGCACACAAAAGCAGACAATAAATGCGCTAAACTTTGTTCTTTCAATGCCTGACATGTAAAGTCCTAGAAAAACCATGCACGCAAAATTG